ACCTGGAACACCAACAACAACTGTCGCTGGATCAACAACAACAGCTGCCTCAACTGCAACTGATATTTCAGCAACAGGTGAAACAACTACCACTGGACCAACATCAACTGGTGGAACAACTACAACAATGGCTGCATTAACAGCAATTGGTGGAACTACAGCAACAATAGGTGGGTCAACAGCAACAGCTGCATCAACTGCAACTGGTGGTTCAACAACAACAACGATGGGTGGGACAACTTCCACTGAACCAACGTCGATTGGTGAAACAACGATCGTAGCCGCTGGAACACTGACAACAATAGCTGGGTCCACAACAACAGCTGTTTTCACTGCAACTAGTGATTCAACAACTGGTGGAACAACTACAACAACGGCTGGATCAACAACAACTGGTGGAACAACACCAGCAGCAGCTTCAACAACGATTTCTTCTGCTGCTGAAGCTCCAGTTGTGGTTCTTGGAGCAACTTTAGAAGAACCATTTGTCGAAGAATACAATGATCGAAACAGCCAACAATTCAGGAGGCTTGAAGCAGTTGTAGTACGAGCAGTGAGTACAATGTTTAAATTAGATTTTTTGAGTTTTGTTGTTTTTAATTCATTTTGACGAAAACTAATTATTTTTTGGTGCTTGTTTACTTCCCACAGTACGATATCATCTACTTTGCTCAATATGGATCCATTTTCATTCGCACCATTGTCATAAGGTTTAGGTAAGATTTTACATTTTGAGAGACCAACTAACTTGCTTTGCTATAAGATTCATTTTTTTGTGTTTACATATCAATAATTACAAGGTCAAAAACATTTACGTATACATTTACTTGTCTCTGATGAGATATGTGCTTTTTTCCCCTTTTTTTTTGGATACAGGGCAGTTACACGCCTTGCTAGAACGAACATCACTGCAGCCGAGGTGGGGCTTGAGTTCAATCGATCAGTGACACCCGCACAACTTCCAACACCTGATGCTGTTGCACAAGTCTTAGTAAACGCTGTCTCTACTCCGAATAATACCTTCAACCTCAGTGTTCAGGCCGACTCCATCCAAGTACTTCGTAAGTAAACAGTAGCCATAAACTTCATTTCAGTTGGTTATCACGTGTCCATCCACATATCATTCATCTACAAGTTCCTCTTCCATAAGTGTGTTCTTTTTAATTAATTTTGGTTAACAACAATGATTAATCCAATGATTTTTTTTCTGACTGAATAAGACCTATGTCATTTTTGATAGAAATTGATGATTTCTACTTTAACTTTTAATTTATTTAAAAAGAACAATTTTGTCCTGCTACAACTAGGAATGGAGTTTAAAGAAGGCCTTTTTACACAATTGTTACGTTTATTTTATTACCTAAATCTTTCCTGATCCAGTGACAAACTGCTGAAATAATAAATGTTTGCACTCATGATTAGGCCAACAGAAAGTCAACTGTGTCAAACATCAGTAAGAGCACCTTATAAAAACTTACAGTAAACTGTTTCATACGGCAAAGAAAAAACTTTTCTTTTCAATAACTTGTCATATTGTTCCTCTTTTTAACAGAAACAAATATAGCAAATGTAACCACTACAGCCTCCCCGACCTCCAGTGCTGCAACCACAGCCTCCAGTGCTGCAACCACAGCCTCCAGTGCTGCAACCACAGCCTCCAGTGCTGCAACCACAGCCTCCAGTGCTACTACTACAACTCTTTCAACAACAAATCCAACGACTGAGGCATTAGTCTCAAGGCAGTTGAGCTTCAGATCTGTTGGAGAGACATTCACAACTGATTTGCTGAATACATCATCTGAAGCATTCACAAGTCGAGCCACATTGATAACATCAACAGTAAGTATCCTTCTTAGAGTCACACCATGGTCAAATGGGAGCGTTTCTAATTAATTCCAGGATGTTAGTGCATCACACTATTTCTACAATATTCCATGTTGTCACTCAGACTGCTTCTCTACAAATACATTAATCTGAGATATTTGAGATATTCACCCAAAACATGCACATGGTAATGTTGGGAAATTAGACTGCAATGGACGACCTGAAGAAAACTTATGCTAATTATTTCTTTTTTAAAGTAACAAAAAAGGGAGAATGCCATTGCAGGTGGTATGTTTTGGTTGCTTTTGGGGGAAAAAGAACAACAACAAAAAAACAACAAAATATGTTGTCTCAAGTAATTTCTCTGCTTAAACAGAATTGGTTTTAATATGTGTTAGTCAGTGAAGAAACTGGAACTTGGGTAAACAGAAAATGAAACAGTTATGGCAGTGGAAATGATAAACGATAATTACAATGTGTAAAGGGAAAGTACACACACATAGTCCTTTACAATGTAACATATATATACTCACAGTGTGCTTCTTTGTTTTCCTGCAGCTTTCACCTTTCTATCAAGAAGAATTTCCTTCCTCATTCCGCTCACTGACGGTGGATTCATTCAGGTAATTTTTAATGGTATGCTGACAGACTCTCTGACTATTGGTCATAAATTTACTCAAACAAAAATGCTTTTGGTAATTCCTTTTCCAGTAATGGATCAATCATCAACAACATGACCCTTGGATTTGCATCGACGTCTGTTCCTAATGACACTGCGATCGGAAATGTTTTGATCAATGCAGCTCCAAACATCACAGCCTTCAACATTGACACCAGCTCCATTTCTGTGGAAGGCACACGTAAGCAACACCGAACAC